GTTCTGGAGACAATCCAACACTAATATTGCTGAAGGGGAGAATAATATTGAGCTTAACATGACATTAACACTATTAAAAACTGCTTTTATTCTAGCCTAAATAAAACAAATAAGACTTTCTCCAGAAGAACAAATATTAGAGGAAACACTGTCAACAACTCCTCAATCTGTTCAACTAAATTTGGGAAATATTCATTATATTATTTTTACGTCAACTTTATACGCTGTAAATATACTTATATGGGTAAAATATTGTTCTGAAGGGTGGATTTAACCATTTTCAGGGTATTAATAATCATTTTACTTTATAAAACATTCGTAATAATGGGCAACAAAATAATCAACACTTTATTTATTGTATTTATAGTGTACAGACACTGGCGGCTCATTCCCTGATTAATAAAGGAACTGAGCTGAAATGAAAGTGAATGAATGTAGAGACACCCTGTGAGACACTGTGATATAGATCATTAGGTCATGTTTATATGCTGCACACTTCATAATATAATTGTTCCAGCATTTTATTTCTTGGACTTAATTGGCCTGAATAACATCCATTGTTGTGTTTTTGCTCTCTTGTTTCAGAATGAAATCCAGATTTACTTTGTTCATGTTTTCTTAAACGCGTGTCTTCACAGGTTTATTCAGCCTGAAATCACGAGAAAGCGTAAGTATTTTACATTTTGCCAGTTTAGTGGCTAATTTGTACGAATTCGTACATGTTCAGTTGTATGAAATTGTACAATTTCAAAAAGGAGGCGTGGCAGCTAACCCCACCCCTAAACCCAACCATCATTGGGGATGAGCAAAATGTACTAAAATGTACGAATTCATATGAATTAGCCACTAAATTAAAAAGTTACGAATTGCCGTGAGATTATGTTGATTTATTAGCATGCCTGAAATACTTTTGCTATTGTATATATTGATTTTTCAACTATTTTTAAAACATATTAGTTCATTCATGATTCATTCATTTACCTTTGGCTTAGTCTCCTATTTATCAGGGGTCACCACAGTGGAATGAACCACCAACTTTATATATCAGTTTTAATAAGTAATTAATGCTGTCTTTGTCATGTTGACAGAACATAATATTTTACTTTTTATTTTGTAAGATGTTAGTATTCAGCCTAAAGAGCCATTTAAAGGCTTAACTAGGTTATCTAGGTTAATTCGGCAAGTCGTTGGATTTTGGTTATTTTCATGATATTTTCTATATACACAGTTAAAGTCAGAATTATTAAACCCCCTTTGAATTATTGTTTTCTTTTTAAAATATTTTCCAAATGATGTTGAACAGATTGAGGAAATGTTCACAGTGTGTCTGATAATGTTTGTTCTTCTGGAGTAAGTCTGATTTGTTTTATTTCGGCTAGAATAAAAGCAGTTTTTATTGTTTTAAACCCATTTTAGGGTCAATATTATTAGCCCCTTTAAGCTATTTATTTTTTACTAGTCTCCAGAACAAACCATCATTATACAATAACTTGCCTAATTACCCTAACCTGCCTAGTTAATTACCCTAGTGAAGCTTTTAAATGTCACTTTAAGCTGTATAGAAGTGTCTTGAGGAATATCTAGTCTAATATTATTTACTGTCATCATGACAAAGAGAAAATAAATCAGTTATTAGAGATGAGTTATTAACACGGTTATGATTATACATGTGCTGAAATAATCTTCTCTCCATCATATGTATATAAATAACAGTCATGTCTGGTTCTTGAATCTGATTGGGTGATGGCCATGAGATATTAAAGTAATATCAGCACTTCTACAGCTTCTTCACTCTTGTGTATCAGTCCACCCACACGAGCTGCAAGCAGAACACTGCTTTGGGCAACATAATGTACTTTTGAGGCTTTTTAACTGAGTCATTTTAAGATTGCAACTCTGCAGTTTATTTATAAAGACAGTGCAGATTATAAATATTCATAATTTTGGTTATTCAGTGCATTTGGGAGCAGCCTGGGCTGAGCAGAGCAAAGAGGGTTGACGTTTGACCACAATATGGTGACAGAGACCGCATAATAAGGCCTTAGTGAGAAAAGCAGCATCTTCTAGGCGTACGTTTCCAACTAAAGCTGATCAAAACATTATTAAACAGGTGAGTGACACCCTTAAGTCCATCTCTCTCTTTTGTGTGCAGTAGTGCTGTATTTACACCACAGTAATCTGCTAGTGTTTGCTTTGCTCTGGGGTTTTCCGGGTTTATTATTGTGATCTCCCAACTGCAGTAGAGAAATACTGGGTAATCTCTGTAGACTGATGGCATTTCATGCTGTTCAGCCTTATAATCCTGAAGTATGAGCAAAATCAGCTGTTCTGTCTTCACTTTAGACAGTATGCTAGAGAATCACTCAAACACTAGCTCTACAGTGGCGTTGGGGAATGAGCAGCGGTTTCTGCTGTTCTGATGTCAGCTGCAGATGTGAATGAACGGTGGAAGAAAGTAGTCCCTCATACAAAAATGGTTTTTAGACTCTCAGTGTTTGATTTTCGTTTTTATATACACGATTATGTCGTAAAGCTGTTGTATAAACGCAATATCACATGAGTAGCAGTGCCATGTGGCTGTTTAACAGCACTCAAGCCAATGCATGCCTCACACCAGTGCTGATATACAGCCATATCACACTGCTACTTTCAGGATTATTGGGTTTAAATGTACATTCACGTGATATTATACCGCCATACTTTTGTGACAGGATTCACACACATACGAACACATCCTTCCAGATCTCAGTTCCTCATTTACCCATTTATACACACTCTGAAAGCCAAACACACAGCCTCAATCTCTCCAAGTCTGACTCCATTACACTGGTGAAATATTCAGTCCTTTCATTAATACATTCATCTGTAAAAGCGCCACATATTTCCCACTGTTAGCATTACGCCAGTCCATTAACTCATCAAATAAAACCAAGGTTCAATAGCGTGAGATAAAGCTGACTTTCATGGAGGATCTCTGAACGATTAAGTCTCTCAATGCTGCGCCAGCGGGAGAAATGGCTTAATGGAAACAGACGGGATAGTTATGAAGAGATCACCATCCCTGCCATACAATATTCCCTCCAAGACGTATTAACCTTTAGCGAGCCCCCCCACCCCCCCTCCCCTCTCTCTCCATTAGCACACTCCATCAGTGTGTGTGTGTGTGTGTGTGTGTGTGTGATGCATTCATCCTGACGGCTGGCACTAAGTGTTTAACTGTAACGTTATCCATCCCTAGTGTGTTTCAGCAGACAGTCACACCAGACCAGCCAATATACACTTATCACAGCAGGATAAAGAGATTATCGCCGCGGATCGAAGGCTGGCGTTATATCTCTGCTGCCACGCTCGCTCTCGCCTTAATCTGCCAGGATTTCGGACACCAGATCGAGCCCTCGTCGCCTTATCAAACGCTCTACCTGCGCCATCAAGGTCAGTGTGGATCCGCAGGGGTCAAGCCAATGTTTTTGGGACAGAAATCCTGAAGCAGGCCGTGTCGGAGGAGTGGACGGGCCGGACATCAGGGTTACGCCGGCCTCATTTATCTGCCTGTCCGGACCGTTTGCTATAAAGTGAGTTCGGGCCTCCAATCAAAGAGGCTTTAGATAAAGGTCCTGGGGGAGAGGGGTTCGGCCCCGGGGCCAGATAACACTCCGCTGGCCCTCGTCCCATCACACACACACTCCAGCCACGGCTCAATCTGATGCTTGTCAAATGATGAAAGAGCTTGTAAGAGGTCCTGACTGTGTGAGAGAGAGAGAGAGAGTGTGTGTGTGTGTGTGTGTGTGTATGTATGTGTGTGTGTGTGTGTGTCAGCTGTTTTGATGTGTTGATTTTAAAATCACAGTTTGTAGCATTTTAAATAACCCAGGCTCTTGTGGATATGTACCCAGGTCTACATTTCTGGGAACTGGGAAATAAGTACCCAGAGCTACGTCTGCTTGCAGTTTCTGTTTTCGCAAATCCACCAGAGGCCGCTGATGTACATTTTTGATGATCTCAAATTTTTCTAGTCCTTGACATGTATGCGCTCTTTTCTTGTGTAAATCCACCAGAGGGCGCAGTATACATTTAAACAGAACAGCTTGCTGTCGACCGACCGACCGGCTTCCCTAGAGTTAATCAATAATGTATTTAAAAGCAGTCTAGAAAAGAAAAGCTGTCGTGATTTTACCATGTTTTCAGATTTTACCATGTTTTCAGATTTTACCATGTTTTCAGTCGGTTATTTATTATTTATTTTGCTTTTGTTTTACCAGATTTCTGGAACCATTCTTAGCTCCCATCAGTGTATGCGGTGAGGTGAGCTACTGGGCAAACTGCTAACAGCGGAGATGCCGTCCCCACAGAGGTTAGTGGTCAGCGGTAACTTCAATAGAGATGTAGTCGCAGCATCAAACCACCCCATATTGTTGTTGGATAATGTAAATGCACTCTAAAAAAAAATTCCGTAAAAAAACGGTAAAATGTACTGGCAGCTCATTACACAAATATTTTACCGTAAATTAAAAACGGAAAACTTCTGTTAATTAACAGTGTGTCAACATTAAAAAAACTATAAAATATCCGTTTTTTGACAGTTAAACTACTGTAAAATAACCAACCATTTTATAGTAATTTAAGGGTTTTCTATATAAAAAAACGGTTATTTTCTGTGTTTTTAAGGGTATACCAACAGTAAAAAAGCGGAAATATTCTGTGTTTTAATAGTATACCTACTGTAAAAAAACAGACAGATTCTGTGTTTTAATAGTATACCTACTGTAAAAAAACCGACAGATTCTGTGTTTTAATAGTATACCTACTGTAAAAAAACAGACAGATTCCGTGTTTTAATAGTATACCTACTGTAAAAAGAGGACTTTTTTGTGTTTTAATAGTATACCTACTGTAAAAAAACAGACAGATTCTGTATTTTAATAGTATACCTACTGTAAAAAGAGGAGTTTTTTGGGTTTTAATAGTATACCTACAGTGAAAAAATAAACAGATTCTTTGTTTTAATGGGATACCTACTGTAAAAAATAATTATTTTACTAATTTAATGCTCTTCAAGCAGCATAGAAATGGCAATTGGTAAGGACAAACATATACATATGGGAAATACACTATTAATGGTTTACAATAGTAAAACAAAACATTTATTCTATACTGTATGAGTAGAGAAGCAGTAAATAGTTTGTTATCTGTGAACTTACAATGATTAGTACAAAAACAACTTTGCAATTAAAACAGATTCTTTAATGAATACAAATCATTTGAATTCCAAATAGCTAGTTATACACACAATAATACATATTGACATGTGAATCGCACAGTGAGAAGTCTTGGCAAATAATCTCATAGCAAATTAGTTTTAAATGTTAGCTTTAAGATAATTAAGGACAAGTGGGCAAATTACAAGTACTTTACATTAAGAAACCAGGTTAACTGCAAGATGGCAGGAAACAGACGAAACAACTGGGTCTTCTTCCTCTCCAATACTGATACTTCAATGGCTGTAAAACAAACAAACAAAAAAAAAATATTACTAATGAGTTTTCACTTACAACTGGGGTGATTCCTTGCATGTCAATAGTTCTGTTAATCATTGACTCTACATTAATAGATGTTAGTAGTCGGTTTTAAATACAGCTACAAATGCTGTAATCTTGACTTAATCACATATATAATGTGCTTAATAATTGTGTTAAATTGATCTAATTGTGTTAGATGAATATTATATTATATTGCATTATTTACAAAACTTCTTCCAGTTTGGTGGCCTAATCTAAAGTGAGGATTATTTAATAAATCCTCACTTTTATTTATTTATTTATTTAATAAATCCTTTTATTAAATCCTTATAAACGACAGTTAAAGGCTCAGTATTAAATTAACAATAAATCATTACAGTCTTATCTAAAAAATGTAATTACTGTAAATAGGAAACCTTGCTGAATAGCAGGAGTGCCAAAACATAAGATAAAACTGGATAAAACAACAATAAAATAATTTAATGATATATTACGATGCAACATTTCAGTGTTATTTAGCTAGGTTTAAACTGTACAGTAATTTTATTTTAGATAAGATTTATTTTTCATTTAATACAATAAAATGAATTTCATTTTTAGAATATAACTGAACCTTTAATTGTGATTTATAAGGGGATTTACAAAGCATAAACAATCCTCACTTTAGGCTACAAAACTGGATGAAGTTAACAAAAGCACTTATTAAAATAAGTATTGTATATACTTTATATACTTATTTTTTTATACTTTATATACAAGTATAACTATTACTATTCATTCATGTATTTTCCTTCAGCTTAGTGTGTACTCGCACTATGTACAGTTGCCTTGAACCAGGCCGAAGCACGCTTGTCCTCCCTACCGTCTCCCCTGACGTTCCGCACTCACATTGCATTCGAGCCTGAGCACTCTTACATCATCGATGATGCCCCGTTTAGTTTAAGAAGTGCTCTCTCTCAGCACAGTGGAGAATTCTTAAATTATTTTGTTTTAGTCGTTTGGGATGCAGTAACACAAAGTCAAATATTTCGCCAAACAGATCAGCCACTTTTGATGTTCGTAAATTCCTTGTGCTGCAGGAATAGGAGGTTTGCTAAAGGCGCAGCTGTGGTGCAGTAAAGGGTTTGCGTCTTTAATAATTAATGACAGTTTGCGTTTATTGAACAGTAATAGTGGTTAATTTATCCAAATCAAATCGTCCCTTGCAAACTGTCACAAAAGACACAAACCCCTCACTGCACAACAGCTGCACCTTTAGCAAACCTCCTAGTACCTGCAGCACGATGACTTTGATTGTTTATGAGCGTCAAAAGTGGCTGATCTGTTCGGCGAAATATTTGACTGCGTGTCACTGCATATTGAACAACTAAAACGATATAACAATATAAAGAAATCTCCACTGTGCTGAGTGAGAGCACTTGTTAAACTGAACAGCACATTATCGATGACGTAAGCGTCGGGGAGACAAGCACGCTTCCAGTTTCAAGGTAACTCTGCATAGCATGAGTACGCCCTTGGAAACACCCATACACACTTATTTACAAACACACTCATACACTACAGCCAATTTAGTTAATCAATTTCCCTATAGCGCATGTCTTTGGACTGTCGGGAAAACCTGAGCACCCGGAGGAAACCCACGGCAACACAGGGAAAACATGCAAACTCCATACAGAATTGCCAACTGAGACTTGAACCAGAGACCTTCTTGCTGTGAGGCGACAGTGCTAGCCACTGAGCCACTGTGCTGCCCAACTATTACTATATGCCTGAATAATAAGATATTTAAATGTTAGTTTGAATAGTTTATTAACCATTTACTTAAACATTCTGAATGATTAGAAAAAAAATACACCAACTATTCTTAAATCACTGGTTTGTAAATAATGCGATACTAAATTTAGAATGAAAAATTAATCATTAACAAAATATGAAAACAAAATAATTAAGCACATTATAGATGTGCTTATAAGTCAAAATTACAGCATTTGCAGCTGTAGTTATAAACTGTATACTAAGGTCTATTAATGTAGAGTCAATGCTTAACAGAACTTTTTGCTAATGCTTAATAAATTAATCAATAGTGTTTAGTTATTATAAAGTGTTACCGGTGTGCTTAATTACCTTTAAATCTTCCAAGGATTCTGAAAGTCTTTCTGGTCTGACAGGAATCGAAGGAGTTTAGATGGTATGTTTCTGCTTGGTGCCCTTTTCTCTTCTTTGGATCTACGTTCTGGATAGTTACTCAGCATGCTCCTGTTGTAAATACAACAAACATGTATCACCTTACTTGTCTTGTAAAAATGAAATAAACTTAAAAATGTAAAAACATACCTTCATATAAACTACAGAGTCAGGGCTGCTTCCTTAGGCTACATAATGTTTAGCACATAAGAGACTAAACATGTAGCTCACCACAATTAGGAGACAGCTCAATGATCTTGTTATTGTGACTGTGGACTCTTCTTCTGAAAAAAAGAAAAGAAAAGTGAGTTGTGTGTTGGGTCTGGTACACGCCTACATGGAAAGAACCTATATAAACATATGGTTTAATATAGGTTTTTGATATATGTGACACATATAAAATTGGCTGTTTTCCTATATTATATGTACATATATGGGTACATATATGCACACCTATATGTTAAATTATTAACATTATTGATAATATTATAAATAATATAATATGTAAAATTATTCAAATACATGTCTGCTACATAATTTAAAAGAAATTTAAAAAAAATTATTTACTTAATCAAATATTACAAGAAATAAATATAGTGCAGAAACAAAAATAAGGCAAAAAACAACAATAAAGGAAAGAAAACAAAATAAAAAGAACGACAAACCATTTTGTTATACTTTTTCTTCTTTTCCACTATCTTTAAGCAAGAAAGAATTGACCTTGCAAATGTTTCAGGAAAACGTGTAGACATCATAGCTTTCCATCTCCTCTCACTTATTTGCCATAGTTAAATTCCATAACATGCCAATTACATGTGATACCAAATTCAAGTGGCACATTCATAAGTTTTTTGCATTTTTAAAAATGAGTTATTTTCCAGATAGCAGACCTACGTTAAATTAACATTGAAATGTTAAAACATCAATCAAACTATCATTGAAACAATGTTAAAAGTCATCACTGATTTTTAGGCAGTTTTCCACCCTGAAATAATGTTAATTCTATGATGATAAATAGACAAAACTGTCCCAAAACCAGCATTTATTCAACCAAAATTAAATCATTTTTACAATGAACCCAACATTAAATAAAATGTTAAATCAACCACACTATCATACAATTAATGTTAAAATTTAAAGTTGATTTTTAGCCAGTTTTGCATCCTGAAAAAATGTTATTACAATCACGATAAATAGATTAAACGGTCACAAAATCACCATGAAGGCCTGGCTCACCATCAAGATGCCTACATTGATAATGTCTTTCTCATCATCAGGTGGCTAAGAAAGAAAATAAAAGAGATTCAGCAGTGGACCAGTTATTTCCTTATCATTTTAAACAGACATTACCAAAATAAAGAACTTGTAACATTTCAAATGTTGTAAAAACAAATAATAATAATAATAAATAACTGCTTTGTTCATTTAACAGATTACAGTTGCAGCTTAAAAAAACCCCAGATAAAACACCCACATCAACCCAGTACTTTTAGTTTGAATACATGTTAACAAAATTTCAAAATTACTGAAGCAAAATGTGTTCCTGTAAACACTTAGTAAAAATATAGGTACAAGTAATTGGTTTTGCCAAATAATAAAAATAATGATGATAATAAAAACTAATATCAAACAAAAACCCTGAACATTTTACCTCTTAAACTTTGCAGTTTACTGTCATCTCCTGAATGAAGTACAGATGGTCCAGCACAACTGCCTGAGTTCTGAAAGAGCAAACACATATTTTTTTTGTATTATTTATAAAAATGCAGTACTGACCAGTCAGCATCAATTTCTACACCAACACACCTACAACAAAAATAGCACTCATTCAGTTTGAAACATGCAACATGTAGTCTACTGTTATACTTTACAAACTTTGTGAATAATAAAAAAATGAAAACATTTAAAACCCCAGGTGTATTTTATTTCATTTGTCTATATCAATTAAAAATTTAGTTTGGATTGAACGTAAGATTTAAGATTTTTATTTAGATTGCTGTGAAAATGTACCTGTACCTTGTACTTATAACCAAAATGACAGAACCTGGAAGTCAACAAAGCAAAATATCAGTGAACCTTATATATACACAAAACACTCAAAATCAAACAGAAAAAACGCTGAACATTTTACCTCTTAAACTTCAAAGTTTACCGTCATCTCCTGTATAAGGTACAGAAGGTCCAGCACAACTGCCTGAGTTCTGAAAGAGCAAACACATTCTTGGTAAAATTACAATAGATGCAATGCTAAATATAAATCATTGTTTATTTTTTTGGTTAAAAAATGCAGTACTAACCAGTCAGCATCAATTTTTACACCAACACACCTACAACAAAAATAACACTCATTCAGTTTGAAACATGCAGCATATAGTCTACTTTTAAATTTTACAAACTTTGTAAATAATAAAAATATGAAAACATTTAAAATCCCTGGTGTATTTTATTTAATCTGTCCATATTAATTCAGTTTGGATTAAATTTAAGATTTTAATTTAGATTGCTGTGAAAATGTACATGTACCTTGTACTTATAACCAAAATGACAGCATAAACATACAGCAAATCTTATATCCTATATCAGTGAACCTTATATCTACAAAACACTCAAAATCAAACAGAAAAACCCTGAATATTTTACCTCTTAAACTTAAAAGTTTACTGTCATCTCCTGTATAAAGTACAGAAGGTCCAGCACAACTGCCTGAGTTCTGAAAGAGCAAACACATTCTTGGTAAAATGACAATAGATGCAACGCTAAATATAAATCATTATTTTTATGGTTAAAAATGCAGTACTAACCAGTCAGCATCAATTTTTACACCAACACACCTACAACAAAAATAACACATTCAGTTTGAGACAGTATACATTTAAAACTCACAAACGTCGTGAATAATAAAAAAATGAAAACATTTAAAATCCCATGTGTATTTTATTTCATTTGTCCATATCAATTCAAATTCAGTTTGGATTGAATCTAAGAATTTACCTGTACCATGTACTTATAACCAAAATAAAAAAAACCTGGAAGTAAACAAAACAAAATATCAGTGAACATTATATGTGCAAAACACTCAGACTCAAAATCTACATAAAAAGATTTCATTTGTGATAACACCATGTGTAGTTCACTCTATTATCAAGGCTTCATTAAAATAAAACTCCTGATCTCCTAATAGTAATGAAAGTATTATTTGCTATAATGATTCTAAATGACAGTTAGTCTGAAGAATTTTAAGACTGTGGAAGAACAGCTCATCTTTATATCTTCATATTAGCAGCTGTTGAGGTTCTTAAAAGTGAACTTGGCTAAATCTGCAAGTTGACAAGACGTTCATAAGTATAATATCCATGACAGTTCAACTCGACTACAACAAACATTTAATTGTGTGCTTTAAGGTACATGTTGTATTTGAGGCCTAAAACGCATGACAGTGTAAACACTATATAAAATTTTAAATGTCACACACTTACTGTATCACTCTGTTATCTCTGTAACGTTACACACAACCACACGTCGCGAAATGCGGAAGTTTTTTTTTCCGTTCCATTTAGTGAGCGTTATTAATATAACACTCTCATCAGTTATTGCTTCGTATTTGCGTCTAATACCCCAGTTTGTCACGCGGGATGAATGAATGTTCATGAGTTAAAGTGAAACTGCCGAACTGCAGTTAAAGTCAGGCATCCTGCTGATTTGATTCAGAGGGGCACTTGTTTGTCAGACGGCTCACCGGTCAGGTATACATCCGCGCTAAACTACCAAAGTATGAAAGTCACCCAGCTCCCAACCCAACGTTGAGAATAGATTAACGGCGATATATTTTTTTATCGCGCGATAAAAGTCTCGCGTTAACGCAGCACGTTAATGCTGATAAGGGCCCACCACTAATAATAACTTTATGAGTGTGTATTTCCCCTCATACCGATTTACACAATGCCTCAAATTCACGCGGGTCTAACTTATAGCAAAGCTGTTCAGCTGAATCTCGGTCACACAGCCTTAATACGTCGGTCAAACCAAAGCTAACATTTGATAACGTCAGTAAAAATATGAAATTAGTTATTAATATGCAAACAAACACAGACGGTCAGGTGTTACGAGCGTTTGAAACACGTTAACGTTAGGGTTCATTAAAGGTAACGTTAACGTTAACCAGTCATCGATATACACCTTCAGCACTATATATCAACCAAACTACACAGTGTCACAAACTTTGAATGCTATCCCTTGTTCAATGCACTGTACAAAGAAAACATTTATATTTCTATTAAATAATTAACATACCTTTTACACTCTCACAGACAAGCTGACGTTTTACCGTTAATCCAGTCAGACTCACGCAGGTGCAGAGGGAGTGAGAGGGTGATTGGGACGTCACATCACTTCCCGCGCACGGCAGTTTAGAAAAATACGGACAAACAACTGTAAATGAACAGATATCATATTTACTGATGAGGAAAACGCATAAAAAGGTTAAAATTCATTAGATAAATGCTTGTTTAAATTACATTTAACCACTCATAGCTCAGTTTGATCTTAATGATATAAAGTCTGATCTTATTAACAATATTAAACGTAATTCACTGCTGTACTTTCCATGGCCGCTTCAGACAAGACAAAAATAATTTTAAATAACGATACAAATGTAATAAAGCAGTATTTTAACTAAAATATTGTTATATGTTTTATTAATCGTACTTACCAGGGAAAAAACAGAGGAAGAAATATGTCCCGGTGTCCATCAAACGCTGCCTGAGCTGCGATCCCCTTCCCATAATGCAATTCAAAAATGTATATAAACGGAAAAACACCCGTAATACGTGTATACGGAAAAAATCCGTTAAAATATACAGTCATTTAACTGTTATTTTACAGATTTTTTTTACAGTGTGTAATATGTTAAATTAAGTGTAAATTTCACATGCAATTATTATTCATGTATTTTCAAATTGAAAATATATTTATTTTAAAATAGAAAATGAAATTAAATGTGTTCAGCCTTCATGAAAACATTAAAATAAATAACGATTCTTTTTTTTCTAATGTTGGTGTCATTTTTAGAAAACGTCACCAAACATCAGGATGAAAAAACATTGTTTAGGTTGCTGTTTGAAAGCACATCCCGGACGAGCCCCCAATCTGCAGGCAACAAAGCTGAACTGATCTGCTTAAATGAGCAGTTGTCCTGTGTTCATGCTCAGATATTTCACTCTAAAGGCAATAAAACATGATGGGTCAAAATTCACACATTGCACCATTAATGCACCTTTATTCTTGTGTAAATCCACCAGAGGGTGCAGTATACATTTTAGCAGATCAGCTTGCTGCCAACTGACTCAGTCAAACTCTTCCCTGAAGCCAACCAACAGTGTTTTCAAAAGCAGCAGAGAAAAGCCGTCGTGATTTTAGCATGTCTTTAGTCAGTTATTTATTTGCTTTTGTTTTACCTGGTTTCTGGAATCGTTCTTTGCCAGACTCGAACCCTATCACAGTTCACTTAGCTCCCCGTCCCATATCCATCAGTGTATGAGGTGAGCTACTGGGCAAACTGGTAACAGCAGAAAAGCCGTCTATACTGAGGTAAGCGGTCAGTGGTAGTGTGAATAGGAACAGAAGTTGTCAGCAGCATCACCCACACTATACTGTTTGTACAGCCGTCACACACAAAATGCAGTCAGACAGAGCCCCAGGTGCATATTTGCAGTTTTCCAGTAATGTAGACATGGGTACATATGCACATTGTGTTGATTTCAAATATTGTGTGAGATAAATCCTGTTTAAGCTGTAAAGTGAACTGTAAGTGCTGAGACTGTTTTCAGGGTGTTCCTCTATCTGAAGTGGAATATTGAGTAGGAGCAGGGCTTCTCTTTTTGAGCATCATTTCTTCATAGCAAACTAACAGAGTTAGTGTAATTTCCCCATGCAATTGTTATTATTGTATTTTAAATGGGGAATATGTTTATTTGTTAATGGTTGATTTATGTAAGTGTGTGTTTATTGTAAACGAATATTTCTGAACCTACGGCATTGATGAAACTTCAGATTTGGATCTTTGGATTGAGACTTTGAGAAGCATTGCTCTAGGGTGTGTGTGTCTGTGAGTGTGTGCATGTTGCTGGATGTCTGTCAGCTCTTCTGATGATGCTCAGACACAATGTCAGCCTGTTTGCGTTCCCGTCTGCAGGGTCACGGCCACTGTGTGTTTAAGATACCGGGGTAATGAGGCCCACGGCAAACTGTGTGTGTGTGTGTGTGTGTGTGTGAGAAAGAGAGAGAGAGAGAGTGTGAGAGTGACATTGTTGACCTCCTTCTTTCCCTGGTGCTGCGCTGTAGCCTGAGTCCAGAACACACACCACTTGGCCTTTCTAAAATAGGGGTCAGGTGTGTGAATCCTTCAGTGTGTGTGGGTGTGTGTGTGTGTGTGCAGGGCTCATGAGAGAGATCGGCTTGGTTTGACGGCTACACTGGAAACACACAGATGAAGTTCAGCTTTTAGAAGCTTCAAACCTCAAAATGATCATTATAAACAAACAAACTAGAACATGTGAATTAATCTGAGCTGCGGGTCTGGGCTTCAGGATTTCTGCATTGTTACATCTGCAATAAATCTGTCAGATAAATCTGCAATAAAAAGAGGACAGAGGAAATCATTTCATTATTTCTGACATGAGCCTGCTCACAATGCTTTTCTAAGGGTCCCTGTGGAAGTCTAGGACCGGCTGTGTGCATCTGCACTATAGATTGATAAAGACAATACTCAGGTAGGCTGTGGCGTTGATGCTCAATTGGTACTAATGGACCCAAAGAAAATCTCCCCCACACCATTACACCACCACCACCAGCCTGAACCGCTGATACAAGGCAGGATGATCCATGCTTTCATGTTGTTGAGGCCAAATTGTGAGGCGAGCATCCGACAGCAGAAATGGAGACTCATCAGAGCAGCAACGTTTCTCCAATCTTCTATTGTCCAGTTTTGGTGAGTCTGTGTGAATTGTAGCCTCAGTTTCCTGTTCTTAGCTGACAGGAGCGGCACCCGGTGTGCTCTTCTGCTGCTGTAGCCCATCCGCCTCAAGGTTGGACGTGTTGTGTGTTCAGAGATGCTCTTCTGCAGAGCTCGGTTGTAGCGAGTGCTTATTAAATTCCCCAACATGTAACCCAACTATAGGTTATTATAGCAGCTTCCCAACTAAGGGTTATTTTAACCCAATGCATTGGGTATATAATTTAACCCAAGGCATTTGTGTTATTTTGATTAAATGTTATTTTTTTCCATTCTGGTATTACTACTCTTTATTTTATAATTATGGCTTTGTAAATAAATAAATGTCTCAGCTGTGTTCTAATGGTGAGAATGATGGCCAAAAAAACACGACATGGAGAGGTCATTTGTAAAAAAAAGCAATATTATTACACTAAAGCTTAAACTTTATAATGCAAAAAAACTAATTAGGCACGCATATTAATACAGCGGTTCTGTGTCAGTTAAATCAGTTGACTGTTGAAATGCAAAATGTTAACCCAACTGGTTGAGTTATAATAGATATAACCAAATAAAGCTTATAAATAACCCCAAAAGGACCAAATATTTAACCCAACTGTTGAGTTATTAATAAATAACCTAATGAAGGTTAAAATAATAATAAAAAAATAACCCAACAAAGCAGCAAACATGTTTAAGTCAACCATTGGGTTAAATAAATAACATGATTTAGTGTGTCTGTACACTAGAGATGGTTGTGCGTGAAAATCCCAGTAGATCAGCAGTTTCTGAAATACTCAGAGCAGCCCGTCTGGCAGCAACAACCATGCCACGATCAAAGTCTCTTAAATCCCCTTTCTTCTCCATTCTGATGCTTACTTTGACCTGCAGCAGATCCTCTTGACCATGCCTACATGTCTACAGGAGCGTCGGTGTAAAGCAGTGTTCCTCTAATCTATTCAC